AAATTGCATTGTCTTATTTCAAGTGCATTTTATCTAATTATCTTATTTAAGAGTAAAATACTCAGATCATCTTATTTGCCTGCTCAAATTAAATCCACTTTTTTTTTTTACATATTTCTAGATTGTTTTTTGCAGTGTACTTACCTACTCAAATTAAAGCTATATACACTTAATTTTAGAATTGCTTTGGCTCTTTCTGATGAAGAAGAACCAAAGTTCAAACACTGTGTTTTTATGCTTTTGTACGGTGACCTTGAGTGTCCAGAAAGGCGCCTTTTTAAATAAAATGTATTATTATTATTATTAGTAAATAATTTCAACCAAAAGTCATCATTTTAAACATTTCTAACTTGAATTTTATTTCTGTAATTTCTGCTGTTCTGTTTGCTTTACTTTGCTAATAACACTTTGATTGTTTTCCTCACGGCCGTTTTCGAGTTAATTGATAATGATTCCTTTGATGTATAATAAACAGGCAGACGGACGGACAAAGTGCCAGAAAGACAGAAGAAAATTTACTTCTTTTACTGAATTGCTTACCGATGAGTACAGTCTGCCGTCGCTCTCTATGCAGAGAAACCGTGTGGTCGCCACTCCTCTGATCACAACACGTCCCGGACCGACGGGTCGGATCTCCAGTAGGCCTGCAGTTCAAAACATTTCAATCCAATAACTCAATTTTTCTTATAAAAGGATCATTTTTTTGTACAGTTGAGGAGGTAAGTGAGACACTTTGCCAATGGAACAAGGCCATTTACATTTAAAATAAGCATTGTGTCTTATTTCAAGTACATAATACCTTATTATCTTTTTCTAAGGGTGAAAATGCTCATTCCATTGGCAGATCATCTTATTTTCCTACTCAAATTAAGGTTAAATGAACTTATTTTAGTTTTTTTTTAAACTCATTTTCAGAATGTTTATGCAGTGTGTGCTTTGAGCTTTTGCATTTTAAAAGCCTAGACTTACTGTGAAGAGTTTGATCTGCTGAACCATGAATCTGTCCATCATCGCTGATAAGTAGATGCAGCCCAGATTTTGCAGCATACAGATGGCGTTGCCGAACCACCTGGCCCCAGCCGTGGGTAATGTGAGGCCCCTGGTCCATCACTGGCATGCAAGATACTCTCAGAGTAAAAAGTTGACTGGCAGTGCATAGAATGAACACAAAAAGTAGCATGGTTTCTCTGAGTCCCACACAGTCCTGCGTCTCTGCTTTCCTCTGCTGGTTTATCAGTTCCATCCTAACGCAACCCTTTTAAATGGGGCCCTTATCAGCTCCTGATAACCCGCTTTCCCAAAGGCAGTTCTCAGAAGCGGTCCACAACACACCCCCACGCGTCATCCAACTGAACCTGAGCTCTCATTTGGCCCCCGACCAGCCCCAAAGTAAACCCGTCTCCACACACATCTCATTCAGAAATTGTCATGGAAAGGTAAACACTTTATAAAATATGGTTTATGGGGCAGATATAGGAGTTTTAGTTTCAATTAAAACTCTTCCAGGTTTTTTAAAAGTTCTCTTTTTAACTAAATGGCTTTCCTTAAATGGCTTACACCATGGATTCCCAACAGCAGGGTCCTTCATCAACCAGTAAGGGCTCCGGAAATCCACTGCAGAAATGAAACAAAACAATATTTAATATTTATGTTGGAATGGTGAAATGTATAGAAGAAGCAATTCAAAATAATAAAAAAAAAAACAGCAACTGCGCTTTGTGATATTATTGTATCCATGGTTCAACTATGCCATTTAGTGGGTCAGAAGCTAAAGTGTTTGGGAACCTTTGATGTTACAGATTTCATAGCTTTACAGTAATGTTAAGCTTTTGTTTTTTAAATGTTCTGCTTTTACTGCACCTTAACCCGCTTTTATAAATGAATCATTAGTGAGTTTTTGTCATTAAAGGCTAATTAAACTTGAAACATATTATTTGTTTTCCTGCACAGCAGCACAGAACAAAGGAAGAGGCAACACGGTCCCTGCACTGGAAAAAACGATTGAGAAATAAGTAAAAATGTCTTAAATTAAGACTATTTATCCTTAATTTGAGTAGATAAATGAGATAGTTTGCCAATTGAATTAGTATTTTTACTCTTAAAATAAAATAATTACATAATATGCACTTGAAATAAGGTTATTTCAAGTGCATTTTATAAAAAAAAAAGACTTATCTAGATTTAGATTTTTTCCAGTGTGCTGCTCCAGGGGGCTCCAGAGGACAATGAATACTCTCAGGCATACATGTTTTCTATTATTTATTGTGCTTTTCAGTTCTAGTATATTAATCGGACATTACTTTAATAACAGTTACTCTCATGTGACTCTCAAAGCTTTTGGAAAATCATTTATCTTGGACAGAAAAATAGAATATATGTCAAAATTGGGCCAAATTGGCTATCTAGGTCAAAGTAATAATTTCACATTAATTTTGAGTGTTTTATTTTGCTTATTAAGAGCGTTTGGTTTGGATACTACTCTCCACCATATTGGAGCATGAAGACAGAACTGCTACAGCTAGAACTGTCCTGTCTTTGTGAAGATAGAGGAGAGAAATCCTCCACCTCATATGGCCCATGTGTCCCTGTAATGGGGACCAGGAGTCCCATTACCCCATGAAATGGGATTATTGATTTTGTGTTATGTAACATTAATTTGGAACAAAAAATTGGGTTGTTTGAGTTATCATTGTGGTTTTGTTTGTATATTTTTGGCATGCGTTCTTGTGAAGCATGGGTGAGTAGAACATGATGGAATAACGGAAAATCAAGGGGCCGATGTAAAAAAAACCCCAAAATTCCCCTTTAAATCTGATGGGGTTTTGTGATTGACTTTAGATTTGTTTAATTGTATTGATTTGTAAGGTGCTGGTCTGCACAAGCTGGAGTTCAATAAAGTCACTAAAACATAAGTTTTGTCTTGCCACTCCATTAAATATTGGGCCTCTGCTGGTCAAGCTGACAGCCCCAAAACAATCTTCCATGGGATTGTACTGCAGGCCGTGTTTGTGCTGCAAAGACCAGCAGAGCAAGAAGAGATCAGACTCTCCATAGCAGCTTAATTAGAAGGTCCAGTCAGCTCTGGGTGAACACCAAGGGATATCTACTCCTCCTCCACCTCCACTTCTTCTCCCAGG